ATTCATTTTTGTTTATATAAATTCATGCTTACACATTTCTTAAATTCTTTTCATTATATTTTCGATTGTTTTCTTTGAGTTACCGTAGGTCATTTTTCGCTTTTCTCGAGTTTTTTTTTCCAGAAGATGTTCGCTATTCATTTTTGTTTATATAAATTCATGCTTACACATTTCTTAAATTCTTTTCATTATACTCATTTACTTGTACCTGCAACACCGACCTCATTTACGGGAACAGTCGACCCGTCAGGTATAGAAGTTTGTTTTATATTTACAGCGTTTCACTTTCTTCAGTGCACACTTTACTGCATATATATACAATTCAATCTTGCGATGCTACAGTTTATTGTTTACTACGTTTCGTAGCATGTTTCACTTTTATTAATCATGTTGCTTCCATAAACTTGCAGGGACCTTTTAGGATACAGGGCAGTATGACACCCGGTTTAGGAGGTACCCTATAGCAAGTCACTGACCCAATAACTGCATATTTATACACACCACAACCCCGAACCTATAATCGATATGTTAAGGAACTTAGAGTAGTTTTTTTTTCCAAAAAGCGAAGCGTGGAAGCAAGCGGACTGAGAGTGGAGATCGAGACCACAACAACGAGGTGTAGGACGTCTCTTCAGAGTTGAGTCCAATCGTAGGATGGTTGGGAAGTCACCGGGGTTCCCCCCCGGATCTATGGCATCCCCTACCATTCACTTCATTTATTCCTGAAAATAATTGTTATTATTTTGAGCTCTTCCCATTTGATTTCCTCATATTTAACCTTGGAAACCTAAACTTTGAAATTTTAAAGACAGAACCACCGATCTTAATCGAGAGTTTTCTTAAGTAATTTTGATTATTTAAGATGTAATTAACTATAGAGGTTTGTCTCTATAGGGAACTTAATAACCCAGCTTAATATAAACCATATTTAATCTCCCGTATTAAATAGGAGAACTTGTCGACTTATAAAAAAAAAGTTATGCAGACTCAACAGACGTCACAAACCTTTTAGTTTAGATGGTTAAGTCTACCAACAAGTTATATGCACATCCTTCTATATAGTGTATTATTTGTGGTATCGTGTTTAGTCATCTAAACTACCAAATGTGTGAGATCCATTCGGTCTCACTTTTCAAAATTAAAGAAGCATTTTCTGAAATTATAACCATATATAATCATACATATAAATTAAATTTAATTTAAATGATTTTTTCAAAAATAAACAACTGACAATATTTAGTTTTAGTTCTACTCGGATGAAAGCCTTTAGACTCCAATGTAGACCTCCATAATTCAAGTTTCTCCTGGGCTTTTTCTCTCGTCTTATCCATGAGAAGGATATTATCAGCAAAAAGCATGTACCAAGGTAGATACTCCTGTAAATGTCCAGTAAGACCATCCATAAATAAAGCAAAAAGATATAAGCTTATAGCTGATCCCTAATGTAATCCAACAAAAATATGAAAATATTTGAGCAATCCTCTTTCTGTTTGAACACAAGTAACAACTCTAGTATACATATCTTTAATGACTTGAATACGAGTCATATTAACAACTTTTTTCTCAAGAACTCTCCAAATGATATCTCTTGGAACCATAGGGTAAGCTTTTTCTAAATAGATAAAAATCAAATGTAGATTCTCCTTGTTATCTCTGAATTTCTTCATCAAACCTCTCAATAAACGTATAGCTTCCATAGTAGACCTGCCCGATATAAATCCAAATTGATTATGAGAGATCTTTGTAATACGTCTTAACCTATGTTCAATTCCCCTCTCCAATAATTTTAAAGTATGACACATCAACTTAATTCCTCTATAATTTGCACAATCTTGTGTATCCCCTTTATTCTTAAAAATGGTGACCAAAATACTCTTCCTCCACTTCAAGCATCTTTTTAGTTTTTAAAATAATATTAAAGAGTTTAGAAAGCCAAAAAACTCTCAGATCTCCTAAATATTTCCATATTTAAATTGGAATATCATCAGGTCCTAAAGACTTTCCACACTAGATTTTCTTCAAAGCCCCCACAGCTTCTTTTTTACTAATGCAACGATAAAAATGAAACAACAAACCAAACACACAATATTATATATATAATATTTTTTAAGCCGAATATTCCTAATACGTGTCCCTAAAAGACTCAAACAAAATACAACCATAAAAGAGAAAACAACTGTA